CAGGCATCGAGGGTGTCGTTTAGCTATTAACAGACAGACTAGCATATAAAGGGCAGGCAGCAAGCGCAGCGTACGACGCGGAACTTCAACAAACAAAAGGAAGAAACAAAGCAAGCGCACTTACCTGAGGGGAAACTTACCTAGTGGCCGCCTACGATGGTCCAGGCAGAGCCTCGTCTCGACGATGTCGACGCGAAGATCCATCCGGCCAGCGTAGACCACAGTACCGCGCGTGCAGGTGCACGCACGGATACCCTCACCTGGTTTAGCCCGCCGGTCGAGACGGTTGCCCGGGGTGTGGCCGCTGAGCAGAGCCCAGCTACGTGGAGCCACATGTGAGAGTTAGGTGCCAGCAAATGGACGCTAGGCGTAGTCTCACCTGCAAGCAGGTGAGCGACCACTACGACCATCACGTGGACCCACCGCTGACACCCCTATACCCCACATACATACATACATACATACATACATACATACATACAGGCGATATGTTATTACCGACAAAGACAAGGGAGACTGGAATGACCATTTCTGGCTTATTAGACGTCGTTAGCCAGTCATACACAACCCCGAAGTGTGGAACGCCCGAGGATCGAACTCGCGATCTGTTAGTTAGAAGTCCACGTCTGTATCATGCGCCGCTGTGCGGCTGCTGGTTGGGCTCGAGAGAGAGCCCGTAAGGCACAAGGGAACGAGTGAGTTCCGTAAGAACGATCGTTGAGCGCTCCTTACCATCATACACACATACATACATGACAGTTCGACCGTCGATTTCGACGATGTCCACCGTGTGCCCCACAGCTGCAGCAGCGGTGGGAGCAGGGACGGTGACTTGCGCAGGGGTTTATAGTGCCAGTAGACTTGCGTTGCATCTACCTACACTCTCTCCTCCTCCCCCGCCTGGGCCCGGTGTCAAGACAGAGTCAAGAAGACCGGAGACGAGGGAGGCCGCAGGTGGATGGCTCGGACGGATCCTCACCTTGGCGTTCCACCACACCCCCTGGTCCACACAACAATAACCAGGATTTCAACCAACACAACAGAGATTTGGAGGCTGGCACGGCCGAAGCCGCACCTGGGCGTGCCGCCAACGCCTGGCTCGGATCCCACACTGTGGTGAGAGTGCCATAAAGGCCACATACATACATACATATATACATGCATGCATGCATGCATGCATGCATACATACATACATACAATTGAAACCGACCCCATAAAAGTGCGAAAAATGGACGTGAATTTCAAGATTTAACCTCGATCTCTCATGACACTTCCACACTTAGGAACGGCAAATTTACATTAGGAGCTATTATTATTAGCTTTATTATTATTGTATATCTACCAAGATTTCTTTTAATGCCTTCCACTGATGGTGAAATCACAACTTCCACTGAGAGGGCGTTTCATTATTTGACCACTATGAGAATGAGAACTTCCCCACATTCAGTCTTGCCTGCCGAATGTGTAGTTTTAATGAGTGACCTCAGGGATTGGCGGTGGTGGCAAATTCAAAGAAGTCGTCAAAGTCTAAAGCCCAATGCAAGCTCTTCACAATGCGAAATGCTTGTAAGAAGCCGCCGCATAGTCTTCCATAACTCGAAGGAAAGAGGTTCAGATTTGCTAGGCGGGTTGAATGAGGAGGGAGTTCTGATCCCTAACTATTTTAGTGGCTCTTATTTGAACGCTTTCAAAACTATTTTGATTTTAAACCACCCATGCTCTCCTGGCTTGTATGCCGTATTTCAAATGTGGTCTCAAGAGCGTACCAAAGATTTTGCAGAAGGCGTCTTTGTCAAAATTCATAAATGCATGCTGGTGGCGTGAAACACGTATTTTGTGCTTTTAACGACTTTCGAGGAACGAGCGGATGATTGTACGGGGTTCTTCGTCAGAACGATAAGGTCTTTTTGGGCTTCCATGTCTCTTAAAGCTCCCCCGTTAAGAAAGCAGTTACTTTTGCTGGTGGATATGGCTGGGTTGCCTAGACGAAGTATAGTACACTTTTCGACGTTGAACCGCAGGAGCCAGAGATCTGACCGATCCTCCAACATAGTTCAGTTCGTCTGTAGCCTGTCTTCGTCGTTAGGCCCCCGGATTATTATCCATATTTGAGTGTCTTCAGAGAACATTGTTAATTCGCAGTCAGAAGCTCTTGCATCATAGTGTACGTATGTTAGGAACAAAATGTGTTCCAGTACTAGACCCTGGGAACGTCACGCTCAAGCGCAGCAGGATCCTTAACCTATGCCCAAAACCTGATGTCGACCCAAGAGGAAGTTTTGGATCCATTTGATGGAGTTGCCTCTAAACCCTAGTCTTTTCAGCTTATATGGCCTTTTATGGTGTGGCACAGTGTTGAAAGCCTTCTGGAAGTCAATGAAGACGATGTGGACCACATGCCTGTCGTCGAGAACTCGTGTACAGCTCAAGAGAGATTGCAGCAAGTTAGTCGTACAGGAACCTTCTTTCCGGACCCTTGCTGGCAGCTCGATCGAAGGCCGTGAACTCCCAGGAATTGCACCAACTCACTCCATGGAATCCTCTACATAACGTTGCAGGGAATGCGCGGCAAGCCTATGGCCCAGTAATTTGCCGTCGACGCCCTCCTACCACCTTTGCACAGTGAAAAAATATGTGTCTGCTTCCAGTCCATAGGAGGCGTTCCGGTTTCAAATTGCGTTTGGAAGAGCATCGACAAAGGCACAGAAAGCTCATTGGTAAGTTCATTGTGAAGCTTGGGGGAATCTTTATGGACCCGGAGAGTTCGATTAGTTCAATGCCTCTTATTATCTTCGAACAATAACCTCTGATAAATTTCTTTTACTTATTCCTGGAGTCGGCCATTCTTCTATAGAGGCAGAAAGGAGCTTCGCCTCGTTTGTGTAAACCGACTGCAAAAATTTCGAATAATACGCAGTTTTATCCCCGCTAACAGCAATCTCAACGGCACTTGTAGTTCTTGTTAAGGGGATTCGATGACTATTCCTTGTAATCTATATCAAAGCCTAGGTTACATAACTGACCCCAATGGCTGACACGAGATCTGAAAAGGGAGATTAGCGGGAAAGGAGGGCTGTGGAGGAAGTTTTGGAGATATAACGACAAAGCAGCCACTACAGAATACAAAGTTCAAAAAACAAGGTGAAGGGCGTGATCTTACTAAGATGAGGAGGACTGAGGACACTTTGCTTCACCAAGCCGATAATAGTCCAAAATGTCTCTACGACTACTTTCAAAAGATTAGACAATACAGCAATATGATTTCTGTCATATTGGCATGATGGAAGTTTTGAAGAATCGGACAGCAAAATCAGAGCCGGACATTTTTCTAAGTTCTTCCAGCCTGTTTTCACAAGGGAAGCAATTTTATCCCACATAGTTATGAGTGCATGGGAGAGTCGATTATTTAAAATATTTTGTTTCGGGAAGAAGCGATTTTCAAGGAAATAAAAAGTTTGAAGGAATATATATTGCCCGGTCCGGATGAAATGCCAGCAAAGTTGCTCTTCGAATTCGACCGACAGATGACCAAACTGTTGTCTTTTATGCCAGAAATCATTTAACACGGGGATTCCTCTCACAGACTGGGAAACAGCTCAAATTACACCGCTTTACAAGAGCAGTAGTCGTGCGCTTGCGACGGACTACAGATCCGTTAGTTGGTCATCAATCTGCTGCACAGTCATGCAGAAAACCATCAAAAAGAATCTAATGAATTATTTAGGAATCCGCTACCTCTTGACCGATGCATAGTATAATTTTTTAGGGGAAGATCATGTGTAACGAACTTGTTATATACAGTGAGAAATTGGACAAGAGCAATCGACTGAAAACACAACATGAAAATGTGGCCTATATTGATTTCCGGAGGATGTTCGCCAGTATTCCGCACCAGCGTCTCCTTTACAAGTTGAATGGATCGAGGATTCCCCGACTGGTCGCTCCTAAATTGTCTAACGGTGAATTGAAAGACTAGTTATCCATAGGCAAGTTGCTAGTGGTCTGCGTGTCCCACATACGATAAAAGTCGTGAACGTGCACTTAGACAATGCCATCTGCGGCGCCCCCGCCCGCTCTTATGTTCTACAAGTTAAAGCCCACATCGGCCATTATTGATGCGACAGTTATGTTTTTCCACTGATCAGACTGAACCTTCAATTTTCACTGTTAAGTAGAAGTGCTGTTCGGTTAACAGACCAATGTTGCGCTTCATCAAAATAAAAATACATTCCTCATATCGGAACGTAGACTTTAAATACATATCAGACAAGAAGACGACGTAGGATTTTTTCAGTTCACTTCAGCCCAGAGAACTTGAGGGAATTGTCTCACGCATTTGAATTCCCTATCCATCACATAAAAATGTAAAGAATTAGCAGCAACCTAAGAAAATTACAGCGTCAAGTGAATTTTGACTTAAATTCACATAGTTCATTGGCTTTTGTGGTTAACTAGTCACATAGTCGTCCTGTTGCTGTAGCATATATCTGCCAAGCCAATGTATGGATATCACCACAAACTAAGACACTGCAATCGCATTGGGCAGGTTATGCCATGGTTCCACTACGCGGTTGACAAAAAATACTTTCTCACATCCAATCCTCCTTGGCGCACACATGGGTTGGGGGATGCCCCAGAGGTTGGTTGTAGGGGCAAGTTAGAAAAAATTATCACACGGGAAGGCGCAGTCCTAGCCAAGTACGATGCGTAAAGTTTGTGTCAAGTCTCCGCGCATCTGCCTA